CTACTTATCGGAAAAAGGCTCTTCAGAGTGCTGACACCAAGTTTCTCAAGTTTAAGTGTACTAACTTGTTTTCAGTCTGTGTGTCACCTTCTGGTAAGGTAGGTGAAACTAGTCATGTAAATACTGCTGGTGTGACTGCTCAACCATTGTTTCATACACTTTTTAATTCTAAAGAATTCATCACTAAGTGTAAAGAGTTTGAGCAGTGGAAGTTGAATGGTGCTCGTGTGAAGATTCTTCCCACTACTTCTCAGACTGATAATACTCTGAATAGTCTTCATTATGTAACTACCGCATGGGATCGTGATGGAATAGAAGCGAATAAAATTCCCGATTATTCCCATCTTTGTCGCCTGTCATCCAAGATTACTAGACAGTGTAATTTGAATGCGACTACTTTTTCTACTCTTAGATTTATTCAGGCTCTTTCTCCACAAGAGAAGAATACTTATGCTCGTACTGACCCACTTACTTCTTCTGATGAAAAAGAAAATATCCAATCATTATTAACTAAATTAAGTACAGAGTCTGATACACACTTGTGGAATCCTGTTTTTCTAATGGGTATTCTTTGTATGCAGAGTGGTGCAGTTTCTGCTGATGCTTATAAAAGCGCTTCTGATGTGAATACTAATATTTTAATTCCTAACCCATCAACTGGGATCCAATCATTTAATTTCATACTTGAGTGGGAGTTTATGTGTCTTTCAGGGGAGTCATGCTCCAGAAGATCACTTCCTATGACTGCAACCCATTTGTTGATGCTTCCTACAGCTAATGTTCTTACACAGACTTCTGCTGATATTGTCAAGCCTGTTGCTCAACCCGTTGTTCTACCTCAAGTTGCTCCAGAATTTTGTAGTTTGTATATTAATAACTTTAAATACATTTCTACTGCAAAAAATGAATATACTATTCCTTCGAATGCTTGTATGGCAAAATCTTATGCTGCTGGTTCAGTTGTTACTGTTAATTTCTCAGCTATATATACACTTGCTGTTGTTTTTACTGCTGAAGGAGTTTATGTATTTTCATATACTGGTTTATCTGATCATTCTTATTCTACAGGTCATACTACTCTTACTTCTCTTTGGTATATGTGCCATATGGATTTAGATGTTTATTGCTTCCTCATTCCTGCTGTTCAGTCTTTTTCAAATGGAACTCAAAATCCCAACTTTTTACTTTCTTTTTATAGTGATTTTTTTCATGCAAGTGTGAAAATGGTTTTCGAATTTTTTTCGCATTTTGTATTGACCTCATACTTTTTCGAATTTTTTTCGCATTTTGTTTTGTGCTTTTTTCGCAATTTGTTTCGTACTTTTCTTTTACCCCCCTCTTACCCCCAAAACATTTATCAAAAATTTATAACCGCCGGTGTTATTATTTTATAACGGACGTTTTAGATGGTATAGTCTATAATTTAGCTCGTTAAATAAAAAAACTCGTTAATTATTCTTAGAGTCCACTTTCTCGTGTTCTGTTCACTGGTCATTTTTTCAAAGTGGCTTTCCAAATGTCCCGAGGTGTTTCCGGAGTGATCCCTTGACGTAATGGAGCAAAAAAAATCCCAAAATGATCGACCCCCCTAGTGTATAGTGTAGTGGGATAATCCACCTTGGGATAGCGAGTATAATCGCAGCGTGAGACCAAGTTGGATTCACGAAGCCCTGGGGGGCGTCGTTCTTTTGTTTCACAAAAAAGCGTAATGAAGGAGGGGGTGAAGGGGAGGAACACTTTCCTTTGTTATAGTAAAAATTTTAATTTATTTTTCTATTGTTTTTACTATTCTTTAAACCGAAGGTGAGCAATGAAAAACTCTTTTAGAGAAAATTGCCCAGCCCGTGGGTCTTTAGTCCTCTGACTTTTTAGCAAGCTTGAATGGTTCTATGAACTTGTCCTCTTCTGTTTTCTTTGCCTCTGCCATAGAGGGCTTTTCAATTTTCTCTTGCTTCTCTTCTTTCTCCTCCGGGTCTTTCAGAGGGATTTCCCCATCTTCTATCATCATTGCAATACGACCGGCAATCCAGGAGCACGCGTCGTCTTCCAGTTCTTCGAGCTCCATCTTTCTCCTTCGTGGAGAAAGACTTTCTTCATCCCAAGTTGCTTCTTCCTTTGTTGGTTTCTCTTCTTTCTCTTCTGGCTTCTCTGGAGGCTTTTCGAATTCTTCGGTTACATCGATTCGCCTCTTTAGTTGCTCGATCTTATCCCACACTTCCCCGTTTGTATGGTTTACAAACATTGTCTCTGGAAGTGCAGGTGCCGTTACAATTATAATATCTGGTGTCCAGGCTACATAACCACCCTTTACTGGAACACGCAGTTTGTAACGGTCGAGTAACCGTAGCAGGAATCCCCATGGACAAGAGTCCACTCTGAGGTCGTCGAGTATTGCTACTTTTTGACCATTGTAGCCATCAAACCACTTAAGGTTCTCGTTTGACATCCAATAGTCTCCACTTAACTCAACTGCCTTCCTGGTTTTGCCAGAACCAGTAGGTCCCCAGAACCAATTGACAGTAGGCTTCTGTCTTTGTTGGGATTCACTCCGTTCCAAAGCAATGGTCTGCTTCAGAATGGTTGCCATCTTTATATGATATGGGGATAGTTCCCCATCATCAATTGCCTCTTCGATGGTCTTAGCCAGTAGTAAGTCTTTGAGGGCTTTTCCTTTCTTCTTTGCCTGTATCGCAGGGCTTTCTCCTTCTTCCAGCCAGTTGTCCTTTTTTTTGCAGTAGGCTATTGCGTCGCGAATAGCCCTTGCTGCTTGATATTGCCCATGAATGTCCCGACTTATCCAGTCTGTCGATAAGTCGAGACATCTACAATCCTTGAAATTTACTTTTTTATCAAGGATTGCAACTGCATGAAGATGCAGTCCTTCTTCTTCGTGGCGCTCTTGACATACTAGGAGGTATTTAATTCCGTAAACTCCTAGTATGGTTTTCAACTGCTTGAAGGCGTTCTCCTTCGGTAAAGCAGTTTGGGGCCAAGTACAGAACAGGTTCTTAGCATTCAACCTGAACTGTACCACCACATCCCCTGTGGGTTTTTTCACCACTGCCCTAGTGGGTTTGTTTGCGGCTGCCGCAGCCGGCTTATCGTTTGCCCCCTCGTTCTTTCTGTTCTCGCTCATGTTCTGTTTTTTAAGCTGGCGCCGTGCATTAATAATATTACAAGGCACGTAGCGATAGCGCAAACCTGCTATTTTGGCCCGCTCTTGGCTTATCCCTCGGGACTTTGGCTAAGATTAGGATACTGTCGGCTAGCGCCAAACTAATTATAGACTTATTATCCCTAGCCCTTGCTTATTTTATAATTTACTATTTCCTTATAGTTTGTTAATTTTTGTTATTTAAAATTATTAATTATATTTTTAATGTTTTTTTCAATAGTTTGTTTTATTAAAAATATTTTGATGTAACTTTTTAAATTTAAGATCTCAATTCAATTAAAAGTTATATGGTTCGCTATACACGCTCTTCTACTGCTTTTCGAAAAAGGTCTTATCGAAAGACATCTCGTAGAAGTACTCGTCGCACTCGACGACCTCGCTCTTATGTTAAGAGGACTACTTATCGGAAAAAGGCTCTTCAGAGTGCTGACACCAAGTTTCTCAAGTTTAAGTGTACTAACTTGTTTTCAGTCTGTGTCTCACCTTCTGGAACTGTAGGTGCAAACAAGTATGTTATTACTGCTGGTGTTACTGCTTAACATTTGTTTCATAAATTTTTAAAATACAAAGATTTTTTTGCTTTGTGTTAGTCATTAAATTTTAAAAAGTTTTTGTCGTTTTTATGTATAACTTATAATTTTTTTAAATAAATGTAGTTATATAGTTTAAACAAATTAAAAAATCATCACAATAAATATAAATTGTATATTAATATTTTTTTTGTTAATTTGTTTAAAAATATTTTAAAATTTTTTTAAACAAGTTAAATATTCAAAATAAATTTCATAAGTGTTCAATTTATCAATTTGATCGTAATGTTATTTGGTCATGATTATGAACAATAATAATTCACATTATTGTTTATTGTTGATGTGATTTAGAATCAAAATTATAAAAAATAATAAAATTTATAATAATGTGAAACGCGAAAATTTTATTGAATCATAAAAAAAAATAAAATGAGATATGAGGTATTATCGATAATCACCAAGTTAACAAATTTTTTATTTATTATTTGTATATATGGTAAAGTTATAATTAAAAACATAAAAAAATAACATATCTAAATATGAAAACACTATGTTAATACCAATTATCGAAAATATCAGATATGATGAAGTGATCGACTATCAGCAAGGAGATGTCAATTTTGGGAGCTACGATGAAGACAGCAATTACCTATTACGGGTATTCGATGACCCCACTTTTGATGGGATTCCCGTAGACAAAACAAAAGGGCTGATGGGATCAGTAACCAAAGAAGTATTAATTCGTGTTCTGTTTGGGATTCGAAAAGTATGGCCGTGTCCAAATATCATGATGTTTAATAGGGAGGAATTTAGGAAATTCCTGTATCGGTTGATGATATTGACTGGTTGGTCAAAAACACGACAATATATCCAAAAATGGATGTCAACAAGATAAAGAACAGTGATAAAAAATGCGAGATTCCTGTTTTCACGGAAGCTGTTTATGATAAAAATTCCCCATTCAAAAGACTTGAGGATTCGGATTATCTTCTCACGGGTGCATTGGAATGTTCGAGAGATGAATTGAAAGCCGTCCTTTTGAAAGATAAAGAAATTCCAAGTTTCTACAATTTGCAGAAGTGGGTTTCTGAAAGAAACAAACAAGTCACAACACAGGTGCCTATTCCAATCAGGCCAACAGTCCAACCAATGGAGGAAGTCCACCAGAGCAACGAGATGGAGGTTGAAGTCCCTCATCCAGAAGACACTGGATTCATCCAAACAGGATACTCCCAGCAATACATCTAATTGATTCGTTTCTTTCCTTTCTTTTTTGGGAAATATACTCGCGCAAAAGAACACTATTAGACGAATATGGCATTAAATACATAATTGTATGCCAAGAAAAACACGCAAAAAGGACTGCATCTTCATGCAGTAATCTTATTAGAAAACAGGGTAAACTTTAGAGACTGCAATTGTCTTAACCTGTCTTCTGATTGGATCAGCAAGTACATTCACGGAAATTATATTGCAGCGAAGTATCCAAAAGACGCAATTTCATACTTGAAGAAAGAAAAAAAATGGTTAGAAGAAGGTAGTACACCTTTAAGTACGAAAAAGATGTCAAACAAAGAGACTTTTGACTATGTGAAGAAATCTAGTAAGGATGAGATCATCAGCGGAGAAAAACTGAGCATGTCACAATCATTACAAGCATTGAAAGTCAAAGGACTTATGAAAAAACCAATGAGAGAAAATCTAAAAGTGCATTGGTTCTATGGTAAACCAGGCTGTGGCAAATCTTACAAAGCGAGAGAAGAAGCAAAACAGAATTGGGGGATGACTGGGCTCGGGTGAAATTCACACTAAACACAGGGTTTTGCATCGGATATGGCTGCGAAAGGGGTGTAATAATAGATGATCTGAGAGCAAGGAGTATATGTTTCGAAGAATTACTGGATCTGCTCGATATTTATCAAATGAGCATAAACGTGAAAGGAAGGTCTCTACCTTGGTACACAGAAGAAATATGGGTCACTTGCCCAGCTACACCAAAAGACCTCTTTACAAACCACACTACTTGAGAAAAATGGGACGGAGTTGACCAACTCGTCAGAAGAGTAACAGAAGTTCGTGAGTTCACAGAAAAATATAAAAAGCCCTCTGAATAAGAGGCAAAAAAAGAAAAACCCACTGAGGTAGTGGTAACTCCAACCTGGGAGTCAGAGGAAGGTTTTTCTCCACGACGGAGAAAAATGGAGATTGAAGAGCTCGAAGATGATGCCTGCAGCTGGATAGCAGGAAAGATTGCAATGATGATTGAGGACGGGGAAATTCCAGAAAATGACCCAGAAGAAAAAATGAAAGAGACGGCTGAAAAAGTAGCAGCCGAGACAAGAGAAGAAATGTTGGGAGAAGTCAAACCGTCCCAAGACTAAAGACCCACGGGCTGGGCGATTTTCTTAACTAAGTTTTTTATCGCCACCTTAACTTATAGAATAGTAAAAATAATAGTAAATTCAATTAAGATTTTTAATAAAGATAAAGAATGTGTTTCTCCGCTCACCCCCGCCTTCATTACGCTTTTTTGTGAAACAAAAGAACGACGCCCCCTATGGGCTTCGTGAATCCAACTTAATCTCACTCTGCGATTATACTCGCTATCCCAAGGTGGATTATCCTACTACACTATACA